GGTTGGTGGGTGGTTGGGGGTGGGGATCGCTGGCCATGGAATCTACCTTGGATCTGGCGCGCTCCGATGCTCAGATTGTTGCGGTGTGGCCAGGGTGCCCGCCTGCCTGCCCGCCTGCCTGGGTGTAACCAGCCGGCAGCCGCGCAGCCCTTGAGCGACATGCGCTCGGGCTGCTCGCGCCGCTTCCAACGCATTACTCACGGATATCGATGCCGGCGGTTGGGGTGACGCCGTTGGGAAACTGGTGCTTGGTCACCAGGATGTGCAGTGTAATATTACCAAATACTTCCTGGCCATGAGGCAGGCAAGCGCCAACACTCAGCCGCGTGGCTTGCTTGTTGATGTCCTGACCGGGCCTGTGAAACAAAAGGAATAGTGGGGGCCAGCCGCGCAGTTTGGGGGAGTGGGGAGGAAGTGAGTGGCGGTCCAGCCACTGGGACGGGCTGGGGCGCACTCAGGGCACCTTGGCCGCCCCGGCTGGTTATGCGCCAATGCGTGTTGGGCCAGCTAGCGGACCAGCAGCCTCTCAAAACCCTCTAGTAAAGGCTGCAGCGCCTGTGCGCGCTAGATCACCAGTATCATGGTGCATGTAACATGCAGCACCGAGGGCAAGGCCCCGCCCCAACTTCGTCCAGTTGCCCCAGCTGCTGGCTGCACGCACCTTGTGAACCAAGCCTGGCCTTCCAGATAGACCCGCTTTTGCTGCCACCCGGTGCAGTTTGACGGGGAGGTGAGCACTTGGCTGGTGCTTGGCGCAGCGGAGGCAAGCAGGCGGCGCCTGGGCGCGGACAAGGGCGCCAGGGCGCCAGTGCCTGCACCCCCACTGACCGCCTGCACCCGGCTAGCTGCACAGCACATGCCAGCCGCACATAGTACCAACAACGCGCACAAGGCGCGTCGGGCTGCCATAGCCTGAGCGGCCACAGCCGAGTGACCGCGCGAATCAATAGTCTCAGTGATCACGGTCAGAAGCCAAGGCTACAGAAGCGATTGATCAGAACATGATGAAAAAATGTGTCGGCCACGAGAGCATGAACGAACGCAACCAATCGCGGAGCGGGTATGTGGCCGGCGCGTGGCCATGGCCACCTTGCTCGCGAGCCCAAACCGAATTTATTTTCCTTCCCCCTACGAGATCCATCACAAAGGCATGAAAGATAACAAGTCAGTGAATGCAGAAGACAGGCGGCCCTGCCGTGGGTGGACGACCTGCTGGGCCCGCTGGGGAGGACCTGCGATGCACACCAGCACCCCTGAGGTCACGGCCCAGATTCATTGGCACGGGGAGTGACTACGCAGTGACCACCTACCCCAACTTGGGCCCCGTGGTGCTTTATTAAACCTTTTGTGGCAAGTTGACCGCTGCCATGGTGCCTTCACAAAGCGTGCAGCTGCCCTGCCCTAGCCACCTGGCCCCTGACCTTGTCCTTGCCCTTGCCCCTGCCCGTCCCTGTCCCTGCCCCTACCCCTGCCCTCCCTCCCACCACCCACCCATGCACACACACTGTCAGCGATTGCTGCAGCGGTAAATGGCGCTGTCAAGCCTGAGGCCCTCGCCTGCAGGCCCCCTCAAACCTACCGCAGATCCACGCTGCATTAGAAGCCACGCGAGGCAGCTGCTAGCAGCTGAGAAATCAGTCGGGCCCTCCACTGGTGGCAGCAGGGGCAGCAGACCATTTTTTTCTCGCGAATTTCCAGTCACGGCCTCCAAGAGATTTGCAGCAGCACTGTGCCCCTGCCCTGTAGCCCAGCAAGCAGCGACCCCAGGTTGACCTGCGTCCACTGCCACCTCCAGGCCTCTGAGTATTGTAACTGGCTGCCCCGCCGCAAGCCAAAAGGGCTCAGGCCTCCTGGGATTTCGTGGCATTATGTCGCGCAGCGTGTGGTGTGAGGCCCCTCAACGAGGTGTGCGTTAGTGGGTAAGAAGGGCTGGAGCTGGAAGCTGACCAAAACACACCGAGCGCTGAAGAGCCCAAGAAAGCAACAACTAAAGGTGATGAATGGCAGCTGTGGGGACAACGACTGGCAGACCGAACTTGCCAAGCAGCACTACAGATTTGTTGCTCTACAGTTGGGGCTGCAGCCGGGCCAAGCTCTTCGTGCAAAGCTTGGCTGCAGCGGCGCTGCAGCCGTGGTTTTGGAAATAGGCAGCTTTCACCAGTTGTGCATTTTCAGCAGTCTGCGACATCGCATCAAGCAGAATAGGGGATGGATTGTTCTCCTGAGGGTACGCCAGCAGATTGATGCTTGCTGGCTGACACGACAATGTGATGAACTTGCCCCCTTGCCTTGGAAGTTCAGCCGTAGCTGGCGGAATGACCCCTTATGATACGTCTCACTATTGCTGCCATGAGTAACTTATCTATCGATCAATTGCTGCCCTGTCTGCTCAACTGGAAGTGAATCAGTGTCTCATTTCCTATTGGACTGCCCCAAGTACGAATCAGTGCGTGGAGAGCTGTGGCGGCGCCTTATGTGTATGCTTGCTGGCAGATACGTTGGAAGGTTAGGACTGAGGAGGTCCGCTCTGATGAGCGCGGGGCCGATGGCAGTGGTGCTCTGGCATGAGTAACTTATCTATCTATTGACCGCTGTTCAACGGGCTGGCGCGCACACTGCCAGTGGGTGTGGCGGCCGGACGTGCTGCCGAGACTGCATGCGCGGGTCGCCCAACAGTCAGCCCCTGCACGGCACGTGCGGGGCCGGCCGTTGCATGCGCTGCAGTGTGCTAGCAACAGCCGCAATGCCCCAACGCTGAGCCCCCAAAACCTGGCCACACGTCCACATTGAGCTTCAGCTTGACAACGTTGCATCCAAGCAGGGGGATGCACCTGCAGAAGAACACAGGAAAACTGGGATGTCAGGCAAGTATACCAATGTGCAGAAGCTGCCGAGTAGGGTGCCTGCACAATAGGCGTCTCGACAGAAAGCGACGCCCCATCGCAGGGGCTGCCGGCTGTTTTGTACACAAAACTGCGCGGGGATTCGGAGAGGGGCGCTGTGCTCTGGCCCTGCGCCCGCGGCATGGCATTGGGTTGCCAGTGTGTCGCTTCCGCTGGCTCCCTCAGTGGGGCGACCTGCTTCGATCTGGAGCGCGGCTCAAGGGCAGATGGCCTGCACTCTGTCAAGCGCTCATGCCCCTGAGCACAGGGGAAGGGGCTGCACCACACCAACACGGGGGGTGGGGCACAAAAAAGCCGGCACGAAAAAAAGAAAAGCACTTGCTCCTGCAGCAAACAACAGTTGCATGAGGGTGCGCCGCACGACGCAACCTCAGCCAAGCAGAGGGAATGGCAGGGGGCCGGCGCAGCCAACCGCCGCAGCGCCACTGTGCTCTCGCGCTGGCTTCAGGTTCCCTAGCCGGCAACAAACTCAACCGTTGTCAGGACGCCGTCCACGTCCCGCGCGGCCGGGAGCTGCCCGGACGCGTCGGCGTTGTCAAATACATACACAGTGCCCTCAAGGTGGATCCTGGGCGGCGCCTGGCCGTCTGGCGCAAGCAGCTGAAGCGCCTCACCAAGCACCCTGGCGCGCAAGGCCACCTGCTTGCGGCCCTCGCGCAGCCCTGGTGGGGAAAGGCGCCGGGGAAAGGTGCGGCAGGGAGTGTGGGACGGGCAGTCAGGGGTGGGGAGCAGCAGGCACCCTTGCGGCGCTGCAGGGGCGCAGCCGCAAGGAGAGATAGGAGCGCAAGCCAGGCAGGCCGGCAGGCAGGCAGGCAGGCAGGCAGGCAGGTAGGCAGGCAGGCAGGCAGGCAGGCAGGCAGGCTAGTCAGGCGGGAAGCTCAGGCGACAGCCGTAGGATTGCGCACGCGCAGGTACCAGGCACGTTCGAGCAAACGAGAGGGGTCGAGGACGCCCATGCGCCTATGGCGTCGCCCACCTGCCAGGCTGCTCTTCACCTCCGCGGTCCGAATTGTGACCCCGTGCTCGTCGACGGAGACGACCGGCGCGGCATCAAACTCCACGCACTCCGTGAGCTCGTCGACTGCCCGCGCCACCAGCAGCGGCACGCCCAGGCCGCCGGACGCCATCAGGTCCTGCGGTGCAGTGCCGCCCTGCATCGCGTCCAGGTACTTGAAGCAGCGCCTCAGCGGCTCCGATCACCAACCCTGCGGCGCGCCGGCCTCAGGCCCGTCCTCCTGGCTGCTGCTGGCGCCCGAGTCGTCGCTGCGTGCTCCTGCAGCGCTGATCAAGGCGTCTTGTAGGGGTCCCAGGGCCTGGTGTGGGTGGGGGACAGTGGGGCCGGCCGCAGTCGCGTCGACGCCCTCAGCAGCTGGCACCCCGAGTCGACCGCGCGCAAGGCTCTCCAGTGCCAGCCGCATTCAAGTGCGTCTCGGTCAAGTGCAAGCCACGCCTGCTTGTTGTGCATTACGACCCCGCCCGCCCAGCCCCACACCCCAAGTGCCACGGGCGATCGCCTGGCCCCCCACCTGCCGGATCCCCATCACCGAGGCCCCCTCTTGCAGAGCCTGCCGCAGCCTCTGGATGGCGATGGCCACCTGGGGGTCCTTTGCTGCGCCCGTCGTCTCCAGCTGCTGCGCCAGCAGGAGCAGGTAGTGGCCAAACTCCTGCAGGCTGCGCGCGGCAGCCGCGGGGCATGCAGCAAGCGCGGGGTCGGCAAGATGCATGCGCGCCGCACGTACGCCGCACGTCCAGCGTACTTCGGCAGGGCGCCTGCGGGCCCCGCCGCTCTTCGCGCATGCGTCGGGCCGGTTGTGCCGCGGGCCGCCCCTGCCCCTGACGGGCGCGCTGGCATTTGAGGGCTGCGATGCCGCTGCGCTGGGCGTGCGCGCCGCCTCGCGCGAGCCGAAAACAGCGACAGGCAGCTCACCTGGCGAGCCGCTCCGCCAAGTGGCGCACGTCAAGGTGAGGGCCGGCCTTTTCAAGCATCGCCGCGCAGGAGGCCAGGTCCCTGGCAACGACCCGCGGGCGCCCGAGCGCCTTCCTAACATCGGACTCTACAAGCCGGCCAACTACTCTCCCCAGCGCTGCCTGCTGCTTCTGCAGCTGTGCCAGCTGCTTCGTCTGCTGCTCCAGTCGCTGCTCCAGTCGCTGCTGCCCCTCGTCTATCCGCTGCTCCAGTCGCTGCTGCCCTGCTGATAGTGAATCTATCCGCTGCTCCAGTCCCTGCTGCAACTTGGCTAATAAATTTATGACTTTGTCCAGAGCCTGTGCCTGCTGGCTGTTCTCGTCCCGCGACGGCGGGGCGCTGGAGTCATCCGCGCGGGCCTCGCAGCATCGACGCACCGGCCACCGCCCACTCCAAGGCACGCCCCGCAGCTGGCGGGGCTGGAGGGCTCGGCAGCGCAGCTGTGCCTCCATGATGCGCGCATGGAAGCCTCTAGGTGATAACATACCGTACATGACCTGCTTTCGGACGGCGGGGGGGGGCTGAGAGTTAGCGCTGGCGGGGAGGGGATGAACGAGGAACGGCAACTTGGGCGGCTAGCTTTCGCAGCGCGGGCTTGTGACTGGCAGAGCTTAGGGGTCTGCGTGGAGCGGCTTGTAAGTGCAGCCAGAAACAGCTTGCAAGCCACCTCAGATCGCATCGCGTAATGTGGACCCCGGACGCCCGAAGCTCCCCGCCGTTAAGATAGACGCGCCGTGCTTTCTAACCTGCAGGAGTCTTGGGCCCTGGCGGAGGATGACGAGTGAGTGTTTGCGCGCGCTCTGCGTCAGCGCGCGCCAGCTGTAGCTCGCTGTCACTGCGCATGCAAGAGGTTCGCAGGTGTATCAAATGGCAGGCCACCAGCAAGCTGTACCTAGTCAGACCTCACCAGCCTGTTTCCCATAAGCAAAATCCCTCGGGAATCCTCGGAAACTTTGGGCCCCGAGGGAAATTTGCGTCTCCCAAACACCGGGATTCCTTCGGGGGATTTCCGGGACCTCTACCGGTAGGGGTCCCCCGGGATTCTGGGGCGTCGGGGGCTTTTTAATTTGTTATCACTGCATACACGTTGTCGTTCTTCCCCGCAGGCAGCACACATGATTGCACAATTCAAGCAAAGCCGTATGGGATTGGGCGCGGGTCCAACGGTGTCCGTCTAGCAAGCTGCGTCAGCTGGCCAGCCCAAGAGTATGCTGAAGTATTGTGCGTATTTAAGATGAATGAGTGCTACGCCGCAGTATATACACACGCAAATAATGCACCAATACACCCGTTGTTGTCCACGTGGCGGCCATGTCAGCATGGGAGCCCCGGAGGATCCCTGGATGGGAATCGCAAAAAAAATTCACAAAATGCGTACTTGCTGAAGGATACCCGGGGGATGGATTGCAAGTCCCCGAGGGATTCTATGAGAAACAGGCTGCACTTCACCTCCGCATGAACGCAACTTGCTTGTGCGACTTCATGGCTGCAGCATTGTGTTGGTAGGTACTTGCATTGCAGCAGGCGCACATCTTGTGCTGCCTTCGTCGTAAAGAGCCCTCTGTCCTGACCCGCAGTTGCATCGCTGTTTTATTCTTTGTGAGCCCTATTTGATCACAAAATTTAAATTTACTCTGCCAGCCCAGGTAAGAACACCTTGCGCCCGGCAAGTCGCAATGCGCAGCCAGTAGCCAAAACCCAAGGTTCCCCCCCTTCTCAAGGGGAAGTGGCTTGCATTGCTGCTTACGAACTTCTTCCACGCTGTGAAAGTGGCAGGTTTCACTTTGGGAGGGCGGTGCACGTGTGTAAAAGCGTTCTGGGATGTTTGCTTTGCAATCCCCAATATGTGCAGGGCAAAGGGGTCCGCGAGCAAGTGCAAACTGAGGGGGTCCCTGACATTTGTTTGGGTGAGGCAGCTCAACCAAATCAGGGTAAGCTAGCTTTTCTGACCCTCTTGCTTGTTGACGCATTTGCAATTGTGCTATGCGTGCTCCTGTGAACTGTGGAAAAAGAAGAGTCAGACGGGGCGTGTGTGCCTGCGTGACGGACACATTGCGGTGGTAGGCAGTGGTAGGCATGCAGGACTTTCCATTCTCAGGATTTTCGCACTTGAACTAGGGACTGGCATTCGTCCCCTTTGGCCTCGTCAACGTTTGTGCAATGGAGAACCGTTTCAACAGAACTTGTGGCAAAACATGCATGTACAGTATAGATAAACTCCGTCATAACATGCATGCAGTGACGAGAGATCGATTACCGTGCGGCGCCTGGAGTGGTCACCACCGTAGACACCGCACACGGCAGATGAGGCGAGCAGCAGTGTGCTCAGCTGTACAACTGAATGGTGTGCTTCCCATTTCATGCATGAGACCGGGACTCTGGGAGCATCGACACATATTCGGCATATCAGAGTCTCAGCAGAGTGGCCGAGCAGCATGAGCGAGCGGCACACGTCACCACGGGTGCAGCAGTAGTCACCGGGTGATACGCTCACGGCTCAAACTTACGGGGCATGCATCTGATCCACACATCACGAAACAAACGATCACATTTTCACTCACTGTACTCACAGATCAGATCAGCCGCGCTAAACTCAGTCAAGGCGCGCGACCTTTACAGCCCGCACGACACAGGAGACGATCGCACAAAGCAGGAGATTTAGCAACAGCTGGTTACGCTCCCGGGACTGACGCTATTCCGAGGCCCAGGACGGCGCGGGCAGCCTCCACAGCGCGAGCTAGTCAGCCCGCGTCCCCAAGGGGGAGCAGGCCTCAGGCATGGCGGGGCCCGATGTAAAGGTCAACGCAGAGATCCGTGACCTGACCCGGATCGAGCGCATCGGCGCGCACTCGCACATCCGCGGCCTGGGTCTCGACGATGCACTTGAGGCGCGCGCCGTGTCGCAGGGCATGGTCGGCCAGACCAAAGCCCGCAAGGTGAGCAGCACTTTGGCCAGTTGCTGCCTGTCGCCATGCGGCGTTGTGCGCAGGAGCGAAATTTTCTGGCACGCGGGCTAGTGATCAAAACAGATGCGCAGCTGTGGGCGGCCGTTCGCTGCGGCGCTGCATCGATATTCTCTGCAGCCTGCTGCAGGCCGTGCGCTTCGCTGGCATGACAGCCTCCATGACACACTACTGCTCGGGCTTGCAGCGCCGGGCCCCACCAGCTTCCGCGCATGCGCTTCCCCGGACTGCCCGCGAGCACGCCGCCCCGTGTATGCTGCATCCGCGCTCCACCCACAGGCCGCAGGCGTTATCTTGAAGATGATCCAGGACGGCAAAATCGCGGGCCGCGGCGTGCTGCTGGCGGGGCAGCCGGGGACCGGGAAGACCGCCATCGCCATGGGCATGGCCAAGGTACGGCGGCGCAGCCGGCCCCGCATGCTGCGCGGGACGCGCGCTGCCAGGCATGCGGCTGCCACCATGCCCACATGCGGCTGCGGCCGCGCCACGTCTTGTGTCTGTAGCGGCAGGGGGATCTGATCAGGGGCATGCCTGAAAGCATGCACGGGACGCCGCAGTCGGAGCGCTGCAGCTGGGTCCCAGGTGGTGCTGGCTCAGCCACGGGCGGCCGCTGTAGACCGATGAAAGCGCATGTTTGCCTGCCGCCACCAGACGCGGCGGGGTTTGCGTGTGTGCGGATTCACAGGCGCTGGGGGAGGAGACACCTTTCGCTATGATGGCAGCCAGCGAGATCTTCAGCCTGGAGATGTCGAAAACAGAGGCGCTCACGCAGGTGCGGGCGCGGGGGTCGAAACCGCAGATGCTCTGTGCGCTTTTGGTGGGGGACCTTTGCAACAGTGCTCGCGCGCGCGCCGCCTGGCCATGTCACGCACGTTTAATGGCGCCTACGCAAGCTTGCGCACGTACATGGCTCTGTATACGGTAACGTGGGTTTGTGTGCGTGCACGCGCGCGCGCGCACACACACACACACACACACACACACACACACACACACACACACACACACACACACACACCCTCAGGCGTTCCGCAAGGCGATCGGCGTGCGCATCAAGGAGGAGACTGAGATCATTGAGGGCGAGGTGGTGGAGGTGGAGGTCGACCGGCCAGAGGGCGGCAGCGTGTCCAAGACGGTGGGCAACCCCTTCAGCTTGCCTGACTGTGCAGTGGGTGTGGTGGCGCTGCAGTTGCAGGGCAGCTGCGTGTGTGGAGCAGCGGCGCCGGGAAGCGCTGGCGTTGGGGTGGAGGGCAGCTGGTGGGGAGAGGGCGTCGGGGAAGAGGGTGGCGGAGCTGGGTGGGGCTCAGGGGAGCGGTGGGGGAGAGGGTGGCGGAGCTGGGTGGGGCTCAGGGGAGCGGTAGGGGCCTTGCATTACCAGTGGGTGTTGACCACATAGTGGTTGTAGTTAACAAGCATCGCAGCCACACAGCACGGCGTGGGGGGAGGCTGAAAGGCAGTGGGTATTGGGCCTGGGGCGCAGGCCCTTGACGTTGCTTGAGACCACAGTCAAAAGGGGGAGCTGTTGCAGAGATGCCTGGGGCTGACCAGGGCGCCCAAGCCTTGTAAATGGGGAACCAATGCCTTTGTCTGACACGGCAAAGCGTCACCACTCACGTTTAAACTTGCGCAGGGCAAGCTGACGCTGAAGACCACCGAGATGGAGACGATCTATGATCTGGGGCAGAAGATGATTGAGGCCCTGGCGCGCGAGAAGGTGCAGGCCGGTGACGTCATCGCCATTGACAAGGCCAGCGGTGGGTGGCCGTGGTGCGCGCGCGCGCGTACGAGCGCGACTGTGTGAGTACGTGCATGTGTGCGTGCGTGCGTGCGTGAGTCTGCGCGCGGCGCGCGCGAGCAGGACAGATACATGTCCTTTGTGCATGTGCACTGCTTGACCCCGCGGGCCCCACCATGCCTGCGGTCGACGGCGCACCGCTGAGCCTCCAAGCCGTCATTAGCCTTGACCCCTTGAAACCTCCGCTTGCCCGGGGACCGCCGGGATGTTGCTCTTCCCGCCCTGCACGCATCCCAGCACACTCAAACCCTGTTCCGACAACCCCTGCAGGCAAGATCACCAAGCTGGGGCGCTCCTTTGCCCGGTCTCGGGACTACGACGCCATGGGCCCCTCCACCAAGTTCGTGCAGTGCCCCGAGGGGGAGCTTCAAAAGCGCAAGGAGGTGGTGCACGTGGTGACGCTGCACGAGATCGACGTCATCAACAGCCGCACGCAGGTAAGGATGACGCGGACGGATGCGCGTGCGGGGGGCGCGCTTGTGGCGTGCTTGTTTGTGTGTGGATGTCCGCGTGTGCGTGCATACGTGTGTGTGTGTGTGTGTGTGTGTGTGTGTGTGTGCGAGTTGACCACGTTGACAGCTGCCATCCTTGGTCCTTGGTCCTCACAACCCCCAGCATGGCCCTGAACATGCCCTCGTTTTGTTGCGGAGCCGAGCAAGGGCACGGGCAGGGGAGGTCAGGGAAGGGGGGCGGGGGGGTGCAACGGAACGAGGGGCAGAGGGGGCAAGCGCCGCAAAACCAGCAGCACTAGTGAAGATATTCCAAGAGGCTGCTCTGTGGCCTAAATTGAAGCCCTACGCGTGCTGGCGACGCGCATTCCTGCGGCCCCTGCTGCTGGCTTCGCACCACTCAAACCCGGCCCTGTCCCCCCGCCGCCGCCGCTCCCGCACCGCAGGGGTTCTTGGCGCTGTTCAGCGGCGACACGGGGGAGATCCGGCCAGAGGTGGGGGCGCCCACGATGCACCACGCTGCGCAAGCCTGAGGAATGCTGTCCGGCGCCACGCCGCACATGGCCGAGGCACCCAGTCCTGCGCCGCACTGCCCCGCGCTGTCCCGCGCCAAGCTGCGCTGCAGAGCTGGCGCAGGGATTGGCTGAGTGAACGCGCCCTGCGGCCGGTCATGCACTTTTCATGCCCAAACATCCCAACTTGGATCCATGTCGTTTTGCCCCTCCCCCCACCCGCACACACACGCACCTGCCCCCACATTCGTACGCGCACACATGCACACACGCATACACACGCGCACACACAAACACACACACATGCCCACGCACTCACACAGATGCCCACGCACTCACACAAACACACTCAAACGCACATCTCGCTCTTCTTGGCCCCCCCAGGTCCGAGAGCAGATCGACGCCAAGGTGGCGGAGTGGCGGGAGGAGGGCAAGGCCGAGATCGTGCCGGGGGTCATCTTCATCGACGAGGTGCACATGCTGGACATTGAGTGCTTCTCGTTCCTCAACAGGTCCGGGCCGCCAGCGCAAGTTTGCTGCATGGGGCGCCCCGACTGCGCCTTGGGGTTCTGGGCGGCGCCGCGGATGCGGCCTGCTGCGGGCGCGCGCCGCACCGATCGACAGGGGAGCAACCATTTTGAGGCGGGGATGGGGAAGGGCGCTGGCGTGTTGCCTCAACCAATAAATCCTGTAATCTTGGTGCTCTCTAAGCTGAGCCGGCAGGCAATCACCTACTAATTGCACATGCGCGCGGGGGCACGTGCGCGCGGGGGCACGTGCGCGCATGCACAGATATGCACACTCATTACATACACATTACACACATAACACACATACACACACACACGCCAACACACGCACACGCACTCACCCTTCCCCTAGGGCGCTGGAGAACGACATGGCACCGGTGCTGGTGGTCGCCACCAACCGCGGCATCACTAAAATCAGGGGCACCAACTACCGCAGGTACGGCGCAGCCCCCTGCCCACACCACCCCCAGCGTCCTCCACCACCGGCCTCGCTGATCGCCGGCCGCCCTGCTCGCTGGCCGTCGCGTGCCTGCTCGGTTTCCGCCACCCCCGCCCGTTTCCTTTGCCACCATTGTAGCTTTCTCGACTGCTGGCTGTCAAATGCCAGCCCTTGCCCCGCATGCAACCCAGCCGCCTCCCCCACTTCCAGCATACACACCGCCGCCCCCTGCTGATCCCCCCTGCCTTCACAGCCCCCACGGCATCCCTATTGACCTGCTGGACCGCCTGCTCATCATTTCCACCGACCCCTACTCTGAGCGGGAGATGCGGCTCATCCTGGACATCCGGTGAGGGGCACCCTCTCGCCCCGCCCCACGCCCCTGTTGCCCCGCCATCTCGGCCCCCTTCTCCCCTTTCCCCCTTGCTCTGCCGCCTCCGCGCCGCAATCGCTTCGTCCTCCCACGCCCGCTCCAAATCAAATCAACGCCCCCCTTCTTGCAGCGGCTGTCCGGATGTTAGTGTCGTAGCGGGACTGTGCCCAGCACGCTTCCCTTCTCCTCCTGCCACCCACCCTGCATGACACCACATGACCTCACACGCGTCACCTCTACCCACCTGGCTCCACGGCGATCGGCAAACCCCTCCACCCCCCCCACCGCCCTCCCTCCCCAAGGTGTGAGGAGGAGGATGTGGAGATGACTGATGACGCGCGGGAGCTGCTCACAAAAATCGCCCACGAGACCAGCCTGCGCTACGCCATACAGGTCCGCACCCCTTGAAGTTCCACCTCCCCCCTCACTCCCTGCCCAAGAGCCCCCGCTTTGCTCGTGTCCCAGTTGATGCCGCAAGTTGGCGGACCGGCCTCTCCGCTGCCCTCCTTGGCCGCCTCTGTGCACACCAAACGCCGCTCCTGCTTTAAATCCTCTCCCTCCACCCACAAGGGTGCACACGCACACGCATGCACGCACGCGCGCACGCACGCGCACACACACACCCAGACCCACAATACACACCCACACACACACACACACATACACATACATGTGCACACACACACACACACACACACACACACACACACACACACACACACACACACACACAAAACTCACATGCACACATGCACACATGCACTCAAACACACATACATGCTCACGCACGCTCACACCCACTCGCACGCCCCCGTCCCCCCAGCTGATCACCGCGGCCAGCATGGTGTGCCTGCGCCGCAAGGGTGCGGAGGTCGACATCGACGACATCAGCCGCGTGTACAGCCTGTTCGTGGACGTCAAGCGCAGCACACAGTACCTCATAGAGTACCAGGAGCAGTTCATGTTCAACGAGGGTGTGCGGGCAGATCTGGGGGCGGACTAGGGGTGATCTGGGGGCGAGCTTGGTGTGCTGGAGGCTGCGTGCTCTTGTTAGAGTGATTGCTTGCAGGAGGGGCGGGCGCCGCAAACCCCTGGTGGCATTGTGGTGCGACTGTTCGGGACGGGGGGGTCGCTCGGTGGTGATTGAGGAGGACGCACACTGGGAGCTGATGTTGCCTCTGGGAGGCCGGCAGGGCCGCTCGTGTGCTTTGATGTGTGCTCGCCATCCTGGCTGAAACGCGCTCCTGCTGTTCCGGCGCGTTGCAGTTCCTGGAGAGGACGAGGTCGCAGAGGGCATGGAGGTGTCCACATAACAAGCCCAGCAGCAGCTGCACTCAGCGATACTCACGGGCAATGGGGACGGCTGCCGCGAGCGTGGCGGCAGTGCCGGTGTTTGGAGCACGTCGTCGTGTGCGGCAGGGGCGACCGCCTGTAACCGTGCCCACCTTGTGAGGCGCTTGTCTCAGCTTTGCACCAACATCCCAATGCACATGGTGGTCATGTGACAAGTCTTGATCACGGTGGAGTGTGCCCCAGGTCTGAAGTACAGCCCACAGTTGCCTGGTACAGGCATTCATCCCCGTGTTTGTGGCGTTGAAGGGCCAAGCAGCATGATTGACCAGTGCAACCCGAGAAAGTCGCGCGGTCATCAACAGTCTGTCCACTCCAGACCAGGCGGGAGGCCGAGGTGTGCCATTTCAATTGTGCTGACATATGTCTTGCTGATATCAGTAGGCCCCAACAAGCAGCCAGGGCACCACAGCTGAGGTGGGATGCAGGCTCATACGGCGCCTGCCCGTCGGCTTCCGGCATCACCAGCGGTGCGCATGGTTTGCGTGGCGTTGAGCTGCATGTCAAGCATTTCAGTCCCATGTCCAGTATCGAAGCGATTGATTTGCAGCATCTTCTTCAACCAATAGCATAATCACGCATAGTAGCAGCGAGGAGCGCGCCTCAGAGATCACAACATCACGATGAACCCGGAATAGTGAGTGGTGCTGCTGCTGTCAGACTGTCGCAGTTGCTCTGCACACCTTCTGCTAGGTTGCTGACATACCGCGCCCTCCCCTCTGCACCTTGCCAACCAACCAGCGACTACCTCTTCAAGGTGAGGCCAGGCCTCTCGCCGCACCGCTCGCCCATGCTCATAGTCATAGATGCATCGGATTCAACCCACCTCTCGCGCTTTCACGCAGTTGCTGCTGATCGGGGACTCTGGCGTGGGCAAGTCGTGCCTTCTGCTCCGATTTGCGGTGAGTCTCGTAGCCTAGGTTGCGCCTCGTTGGCTCAAAAGAGAGCTCTGACCACCCTCTCTTTCGCACGGCCACAGGACGACACGTACACAGAGAGCTACATCAGCACGATCGGCGTCGACTTTGTGAGCAGCGGCGCGGGAGGGTCACACCGCCGCGCGCGTGGACTGATGAGATACGGGGCGTCTGGCCGGCAGCATATGCATGCTGTCGCGCCCTGCCGCTCATATCACTGCCATCTGCATTCGCAGAAAATCCGGACTGTGGAGCTGGATGGCAAAGTGATCAAGCTGCAAATTGTGAGCCATTGGGCCATTGCATGTAGGGCTGCTACTGTCTCTCGGCGGCTGGCAGGCTGCGAGCTGCATCAAAAACAGAGGCACCCCTCAAAAGCAGAGACGGCGCGGTCTCTTGGCTGAACGCAGACCACCCTGGACCGCCTTTCCTTGTTGCTGCTCACACACACTGCCTGCCCGCGCGCCGCCCCAGTGGGACACAGCCGGGCAGGAGCGGTTCCGCACAATCACCAGCAGCTACTACCGCGGCGCACACGGCATCATCGTGAGTGCCTCTGGCGGTTGTGCAATTTTGAGGCAGGAATGGATCGCCTACAAAGGCTCGCCTGTGGAAGTCGCGGCGAGGGCGCGGAGGACTGGCTGCAGGAGCAAGCTATTGGCAAGCTGCTGCAGCTGTCGGAGGGCCAGCCATTTTCGCAGCGCCAGTCGCGGACGGCAGTTGCAAGAATGTTGTGCGGTCAACGGCATCACCAGCAGCAGCAGTGGTCCGTTGGGCAGCCGAAGTAGAGGCAGCACTGGCGGCTGCCTCAGCTTACGCAGCGCGCTGCCAGGCAACTTCACAGGGCAATCACGGCTGACCCAACAGCAGCGGCGAGGGCAGGGCGGGGGAGGGGAGGGCACGGCATTTGAGCATGCTGTGGCCGAGCACTGACGTGCTTTGGGTCGGCTTCCGTTTGCGGCTGCACCCCATCGCGGCCCTTCCCGCAGGTCGTGTACGATGTGACTGACCAGGACAGCTTCAACAACGTGAAGCAGTGGCTCAACGAGATTGACAGGCGCGCAGCTGTGCGGGACGAGCGGGCTCAGTGCCGGCTTGGCTGGTCCAACTTCTCTGGCTGTGGGGCTGGGTTGGCTGCCCGCACCTCGGCCGCTGCGTGCTGGCGCTGCTGTCCGCCCAAGCTGTGCGCTGTGGCATCGCGCCGCTGCAGCATGTCGCCGGCCGTTCTTCGCCGGCCGTTGTTCGCCGGCCGTCGTTCGAGGCGGTGCGCTGCGGGGCGGCCATCGGACCTGGCGCGTGTGCCTGCCGCCTGACGCCTGACGCGCCCCACGTGATCGTGGCGTTGCATGGCGTGGTTTGCCCGCAGGTATGCCAATGAGAACGTGAACAAGCTGCTGGTGGGCAACAAGAGCGACCTCACCAGCAAGCGCGTGGTGGACTACCAGACCGCAAAGGTGCGGGGTGGGGCGCACGCCATTGCAGCGGGCCGCACGCCATTGCAGCGGGTTGCATGGGAACCGTCAGGCGCAGCAGCAGGCGGGGAAGCAGGCGCAGCAGGAGGCGCAGCAGGAGGTACGCAGGTTCCACAGCAGGTTCCACAGCAGGCAGAGCAGCAGGCGCAGCAGCAGGAAGAGCAGCTGCCGGAGCAGCAGGCGCCACGGGCAGCAGCGCGGAGGCTCGGAGCGGCAGCCGGTCGGCTGGCACCTCCCCCCCCCTCCAAAGAGAGGCGCGACTCCCGCCACGTAGCGGCGGCTGTGGCCCGTGCGCCCCGCTGGCCTCGCAGCCGCGCTCGGCCCCTCAGCAGTCTCCGCTGCTTGACTCGGCGCCCCCGCAGGCGTTTGCGGACGAGATCGGCATTCCGTTCCTGGAGACGAGCGCCAAGAACTCGTCCAATGTGGAGCAGGCATTCATGACAATGGCTGCGGAGATCAAGAACCGCATGGCCAGCCAGCCCATGGCCAGCCGCGCGGGCGGCGCAACCGTGCGGCCAGGGGAGGGGCGCAGCGTCAAGACGGACAAGTCCTCGTGCTGCTGAGCCCCCCGGCGACGCCTGCTGTGGGCCCCCGATGCCCCCGCGCACCCTGCGGTGCGCGCGCAGCAGCTGAGGCGCAGCTTGGCGTCGCGGCGGCTGCGGCGGCGCACGTGGAGAGACTCGCTGGCGACGTGGGCTCGCGCCGGCGGCGCGTGCGCAGGAGAATTTGCCTTTGCGCCGTGCAGCGGGGAGGAGCCCGGGCTGAGGCTTGGCGGCAGCGGGGCTTGCTGGGAGACATTGACGGCTTTTCGCGGCGCGTGGCAGGGTGCAACCCTGCCGCTGCTGCGCGGCAATTGTTTTTTCACCACGCCCCACTTGTAATTGTAAATCCAAAAAGATTTGAGCATTTGCTGATGGTCATCAACATTGCAAGCAAGGAAACGGAATGATTGTAATGCTAAGAACAGCACGGAGTGTAGTCCTGCAGCATTAGTGGTCAGTTCAGGCCCGGCATCATCGAGGCATCCTCGTGTACAGCAGGACGTGCAGCTGGTAACCACCTTTGTTGGGCAATCACACCACGCACCGCTTTACACTTCAAATACACCCAGCACACCTGGCAAAGGTCACCCCGTAACTGCAGCAACTGAAAGTGCGGAAGCCCATCTGCATGGGACCTGGGAACGTGAGCAGCAGGGGCATTGCACCTGTCCCGAACAAATCCTTTGCGAAGTCGGCCATTGTGATGTACAGGCCCCGAAGCATTCGCACACAGTCTTTCTGGTCCCGCAACGCAGCAGATCACACCTAGGCGCTCGGCGCCCTTATAAGCACCATGATGTGGTGGTACACATGGCCTGTAGAGCTGCGCGCTCTGCCTCGAGTGCTTGACAGGGTCCTATGTTCTACTCAACCCGTGCGGAGGGGCGTCACCGGTTTGCATGGATCGCACAAGCCCGCTGAGAGGGTGTCACAGAGCCTAAGTACCCTTCGCGCCCAGCAGCAGTCGGTAGATTGCAACCAGCGCGCCTCAACGGATCAGTGGCGCAGCGCGAGCAGCGGCGAGTGGGTGTCCGTGCTTGGCTTCGCAGCCGCGGCCCTCCTTGCCATGACAGGCAATGTGCTGCCAGCGGCGCTCGCAGACTCAGCCGAGCCGGTGAGGAGCTCATCGGCTTGCGCGTGCGACGAGCCCGACTTTTTGACAGCCGCCCAACACCTCCGGAACGTTTGAACGCACCGCCTGCCAGCTCGGAGATGCCCCTCAATTGAAACCCTCTGCATGCCAGCCCAAGCCTGGCTCCCCGTCTTGCAGGCCAGCTTCCCAGCCTGCACCCCCATGCCGCGTCCGCTCGCCGCGCGGCCCACTACCCCGCCTTCGCCGCGGTGTGCCGCTACGCCGCCACACAGGAAATGGTGGAGGCGCTGAGGGAGGCGCAGCTGCACGTGGACAGATCTTTCGCGGAGATATCTGAGGATTGGGAGAGGGCCGTCGCCATGCGGCCCGGCAGCAGCAAGGTGCGCGCATGCGGCTCGCCCTGTGTGCTGTCACATCAATCTCCTCTGCTCTCTCGGCCGCGGGAGCGCTGCCCCCGCTTCCCGTTGCGTCGTCCTCAATCCACATGAGCTCTTCGCGTCTTTGTGAGAAAAAGACGTCCCCCGCTGCAATGCTTGCCCTCAACTCCCGTCCCTCACCCTCATATATCCCCTCTCTTGCCTGCCAATGCGTGCGTGGCCCCTGCCGTCACTCAAGATCGGCGCCCCGCCGCGGCTGGCCGCGCCGGCGCTCTCCGCAGACGGGCGGCAGCTGCGCGTGACCGTCCCCGTCCGGCCCGGCGCAGACGCGGGCGCGGTCGTGCGGGAGGTGTCGGCCGCGCTGCAGCAGCTGGCGCGGGGCAGCACGGCCTGCTCGCAGCGGCAAAAGGTGCGCGCAGGGCGCGCTGTCTTTGAAGACTCTTCGGACCATCGGCGCACCTGATTATGGAATGTGATTGATTGTGTATGGTCGGAGCATGCTTTGTGCAGGTAGATTGAGGCGAAGCAGGTGTGTGTCTGTGATATGCTGCACAATGGTTGCCTGCCAAAGCGCTTGGCAAGCACATCGCAGCCGGCCGCCCCTCCCCCTCCATTTTCTCGCGACAGCCCCGCCACATCCCTGTGCTCCCGCGGCGACCCCAGGTGCACTCCACCGCTGACGTTATCGTCCATCGCTGGGATGTGACCCATACCCCCGCCGGCGGCAGCGCACGCCACAGCTTGTCCATCGAGGCGTCCATCCCACAGCGCCCCCACCCCTCGGCCTCCAGCGGCGGCCGCGGCCCCGGCGGCTGCGGCGGCGGCGCGGAGGAGGGGCGCGTGGTGGTGTCGAAGGAGGGGCCGCTGCTGCCCTGCGAGAGGGCGGTGGTGACGCGCGTCATGAGGGCGGCCAACCTCACGTTTGGCAGCGAGGTGGGCTGCGGGGCGGCCTCGTCATGCTGAGTGGTCTTCGTGCCGATATAGGGTTGTTTGTGTGTCGCCTCTGGTTGTCACAAAGGGTTCGGGGTTGAAAGATGATGGCAAGGGGGGCCAGCAGCTGGCCTGTGTCGGCCGCTCAGCGGGCTGCGGGGCATTGGGTTGAGATCGCAGCCTCAAAGGTGCGACTGCGAGTGTCTATGGGGGCGCGGCGCGGCTCTTGCCACCAAAAAGGGAACGAGAGCAACCTGCCTCCGGAGCATATTGTGTGCGTGCAGTCACTGCCACTGGAGTTTACGTCTACGGCCGTCGCCGCTGCGGCCGAGCCAACAGGGCGAGCGGGCTCCCCAGGCTTTGCGCTGCGCCGCCCGCCCCTGGGCTACGGCGCGCCGCACACATAGCAGGCCCGCGGGGCCCCGGCCGCTCACCCCCCCCCCCCTGCCCCTCAACCGCCTGAGGCCTTCGGCGGGGCTTTGGGCTCTCTGTACGTCGAGGCACAGCGTCCCTGAGCGCCCCGCATGTACGCGCACCTCACTATTCTGCAAGCACACACACATACGCGCGCACGCACGCACGCACGCGCGCACACACGCACGCGCGCGCGCGCACACACACA